AGGCAGATTAGATACGACTAAGATGACACTCGATTTCTTCGTTCGGTGGTTAAAGAATAGCGTTTTTAGTATTCCACCCCGGGAAATACGCCTAGAATCTAATCTTCAGTAGGACACTAGTAGTTATGGGCTCTAGGTAATTAAGAATTCTCTAGCGATTATTAATGCGGAAACTTACGAGACGGCTCGCTTATAAATGGCCTTATCTAACACTTAAGTCGATATCGAGAATCGTTTCACGATCGCCTTGGAGATCTACAAGATAATTATGCGTAAACCGAAGCGTAGTGAAGATCTAGGGGCGTTAAAGGACTCAAGTCCGAAGGGGTTAGATGGGAGATAATTAGATAACTTCGTAGAGCGTTTAAAGGATATGAAAAAGAATTAATATTTCCGAGAAGGATAGGCGAAGATTATAGTTAAATCTTGAGCGAGGCCGTTAAAGAAGCGAGCGACAATGGGAGGGATGTAATAGGAGAAGTTGGAAGTGATGGATAGCGTTATGATTAGCTGGGGCGCCGACCCTAGACTATGATTCTTCTTATATAGTTCTGGGGGACTATCTTTTATACAATATATAAGCAACTAAGTTACCAATAGAGAGGACTTCCCCTAGTTGAGTGTGCGCGTTGAGAAGAGACCATACCCACCGCCGTACGAGTTAATGCCCATGGCTAGTAGCCTCGCCTCAGTTTAACAGCTATTATATGAAAAACTATAAAGACCTCGTTAAAGACGCTTACGATCTAAAAACTCTTAAACACTTTACTAAGGGAATCGTCTGGGGCCTTAATGGCTATGAGGAAGAAAATGATCTACCCTCGGGAAAATCTACTAGATAAGTGTGGAAAGACTTTACGGCGTAGTTCCGCCGGTAGAATGATCTCATTCCTCGTAATACGATGCTTTCTATTACCAACGTATGTTCCGCTAGATAAGTTTCCTCTTCTTATTCTCTCTTAATATAGGCAGTACTCATTAAGTGTAGTGGGTCAAAGAGCAAATTAAAAAACGTGGTCTGCCTACTTCGAAGCGACCTCGCCGTTACGCGTCGAATAACCACTTAGTTTATCTAGGAACCTAGCTCTAGGAGCGCGATTAGTTTGAATATAAACGTCCTGGGATCCGGGTATCGACATAGTCTAAGACCCTCGATTACGGCTTTACCTCTGCACGGGTGGGGGAGTATCTCGAGTCAACTGCCCGTGCTAATTCCGGGCGTGGTCTGTACCATCGGGTGAGTTGTTCTGGGGCGCGTTTTAACATCTCGTGCCCCGTCCTCTTAGGCAAGATTTGCAATATCTTAACCATAACATATACTTAGGACATTATCTTCATCGTCTTCCGGAACGAGTATAGAAAGCCCGAGTTTACTGCCCAACTTACACGGGACGCGAAGGGTATAATATGGACACCAGACAAAAGGTAAGTTTCCTAGTCATCGAGGATTTAAGGCTCCCCATAGTCCTACTAGAGTCTTTATTAACATTATGAACCGTCAACATAGGCCGGAATAGGCGATCCACGAAGACTCGGAGCTAAGACCTTTTCTCTTAAACCCAATTCTCCCGAAACTAGCAATGTGTCTGGCGCGAGGTGCGTTTCGAGACTATAAAACGATAGATAACGTCTTTAATATTCCGGCGCCACCCGAAAAGGAAGTCTATTAACTTTTCTAGGAATCTAGCATTTGTAACTATTCTTTCTATGAAGGCGCTACGACCGAGATTAAGAAGGTAAACTCGTATAGCACGCGACTAAACGATTTAGGTCGTCGTGCGGACTATGTAAAGCCGCCTACGATTCATGACTTTCGAGCTAAAGGGCTTCATCTCATCGGTGGGTCCCCTTTCCCGGGCTGCGATATGAGGCTATCTTGGCGTTGCTGTGATTACTTCTAATGAGATTAACTAGATTCGCTTTATTTAACAGTATAGAGAATAAGTCACGGGGGCTAATGGAACGAACGTACTCACCGCCAGCACTACTAGCCTAATAACCCCGGCATCGATGACTAAGATACGTATCTTAGAGGGAAGATTCGGACCATTATAGCTAATCTATTTCGTGGTATAACGGTAGCTCGTAACCCTAATCTCTTTCACTGTCTACCGGCGGAGAAGAAGGCGGAGTTAGAAGCGAGCCCCGAATTTATCTCGATGAACAGCGAACTTAAACTCTTGAAAACGCAGCCTCCGTCACAGAACCGCGACCGACGCCGCCGTGAGATCTATAGGAACAGGCAGAAAATAAGAAAAAAGAGACTTCGTCAGGCGCAGAAGGCTTAACTATGTGAACGACCCTAGGAAGCCAGGGCTAAAATCCGATTCATCGGGGGCTACCGGTCCCGCTTCCAGCGTATCCGCCACCTAATGCCCGAACGAAACCGCTTAGCGAAGAGTATATTCGAGGTTAGCTATCTAAGAAGCTTCGAAGGCCGTTAGGTTCTTTAAGATATAATCGCCCTCTATAGAGAAGAGAAGGAGGTGACCGTTAGACTAGGGTTAGAGCCGAACAAGTGTCATTACCACCCAACTAAGTCGAGCGAGGAGCTAGCTAAATCTATCACCTCTAAGAAACCTAGCTCGTATAAGGGGTTTCGACGTTGGCTAAGTAAAGCTAACTTAGAGGTGGCTTTGTCCTCTACTCTAAATTCGATCGCACCGAGCTGGAAGTACATCTATACGTGTCATAAGTAATACCTTTCGGAGACGAACGGCTTTACCGAGTTATGCTCTCTCTGCAACCGCTGAATCGTCGGATTAGATGTATGAGAACAGCATTGTTAAAGCCACCTCGTCGCGCCTTAGACAATTCCCATCCAATGTAATCCGCTCATTTATGGCGGTACCCTTAGCGCTTTTAGTTATTGCCCGATCTACCTAGGCAACACGGAGCTATTGGCGAGAGATCGAATGCAACAATTTATAAGATTAAATTATTAGATGTCTCATATAACTAAATGCACCGAAGAGCTGGATCGGAGAAGCACGGTAGGTTGCTCAATTCGTTGGTGTAACATCCCGTGCGAGAATGCATTAAGTCGGCGATATCACCTCTAGGATGTCCACTGCGCGCAGTTCAATAAGGGACTTAAGCGATCGACTTAGGATGTGACAGTAGAAGATATCGACGAAATACCTTCTTATAAACGCGGCCGTAAGGCTCTTAATAATAAACTCACCGCTGGCCCTATCGACTCTTCGATCTCTACCGAGAAATATTAATTTATCGATGAGACACCAGAAATAACTAAACCGCTAAACTCGACTGTAGTTTAATCGCGCGTAATAGGAAAGCTACGAAAGAAGTAGAGCTCTGCTAAGCAGCCTAATTCCCTCGTTCCCACTGTGGTCCCTCCGCCGCCCCTTGCTAACTATTCGATAGATGTTAAAGCTGGTATTGCGCTGCTAATGATGTTAAATAAGGTCTTTTCCGAGATCGTTATAACTTCTATAGAGTTAGCTCCCATTAAGCCGATAAGACCCGTGTCTAGCTCGCCGACCCTCCCGCATTCGAAGGACACCGAAGTCACTCGAGATTCCTATGAAGAGTTTGACGTAGTTACGCTGCGAACACTCACATCGCCTAAGATTAAGAGTTGGACACCACACTCTAACCTTTACACTGGAATGGCTCAAGAATTCTCGGGCGACCCTTCTCTAGAGACCCGCTCCGTAATAAGCTAGTGGCTAGACCGCAGGGTTAGAAATCTTCCGCCCATCGAAGCAAATAAAGAAGACGACCGGACAGTAAGGGATGCTCTGGCGCTCACTGGCGATGGCGATAAATCTGCCGACCTCGATTCTAATTTATTCCCATCCCGTTGCACAACCCCCCATGACGCGATCGGCTCCCTCGAGCCGGACGACGTCGATATCGACGCCGTTTTTAATCAGTATTTATGCTCGCCTTCACCCTCACCCCCGCCCACTTCTTCACCGGACGGCATGACCAGCGAATTGAGCGGAGCAACGTTGTGCGATGCCAGACGTGATCCGTCCCGTAGTTACTCGGAGTTATATACGAGGACATCGAAGAGCCCGGCTCCGGAAATGTCGCCAGAGAGTGAGATAGCTCGAGATGAAGATCACTCCTGCCACTCCGCGAATGGGCCTTGCATCCGTCTGCGAGTCAGCCAGCCGAAAATCACGCTCCGCCTTAAACTCCCGGATAGAGGGCGCCAATCCAGAAAGAAAAAAGGAATGGGGTCGATCAGGGAAAGGGTGAACCCAGGGACTCAGAGAGAAGGGAGGAAAGGGAAAGGAGGTAACTGAGACAGATCCGTTGAGCATAGCGGTCTAATTATTAGACTTGAACGGGCAACTTCTTAAAATTAGGTAGTTGAGAATAGGCTTTCCCATAACTACGATTCTCGCTCGAACTCTTTGAGAATCAACAGAGATTCTTCCGTAACCGTGCCACAACCATACTTGCACGTCCGTTGAGGAGTCTCGGCATCGCAATTACAGCAATAGTTCTGGTATCCAACCAACTTTACAATGGACACCAGAATATTGAACTGCATTCTCAGCCGCTTTAAGTAAGTGCTGATCATGCGACTGCAACTCCAACTTCTCGAGATTGGGAAGGCTATTTTGCGAACAACTGTCGGAATGATTGTTACTTCGTTCAGGAGTACTTTGCCCGCTCGATCAATCCGCGGCGGCCGCAGCGATGGTGGAAGTTTATCTGGAAAGGAGTCGCACTTGTGATATACGTAATCTTTGTCGTGATCGTCTGTCTCCTTGCTATTCCCGTTGTGATCCTCGTCGTCCGCTAGATCTCGTGAGCTCAACGCAAGGTCGCGACGAGCGATTCTCAGTCGTTCAGGGTGAAGGAGATTTGAGCCCGTTAAGGAAGCCATCCTCTTTCATATCAACTTACCAAGGGTACAATCCGTCTCGAAACCGGCTTACCCTCATAAACACATTGCAACTTTTTCAATTTTAAAGTTAAGGTATTATACTTACAGCTCGACGCACCAACCCGACTCATCTTCATAGCGCATCCGCTCTAAAGTAAGTCCATCCATTGGACGTGTTTGACCATGTTGTCACGAGCCCTGCACGATTTGAGATTGACCGGAAGGTCTGTCCGTTGAAGATCCGTCCGTCCCATTCCATGTGTAGGTAGTTGAACGCCTCGATATGCTTCCTTCCACAGACGGCTGTCCTCTGTGTCCGGATGTCGACGTGGTATTCTGTGGAGAAGTCAATGGTGCTCTGTTAATACCCACTGGGATTTTGGAGGCAGTGCGACCGTCTCGTCCAGTTGCAGAATCGTAGCTTGGGGATGACGCCGTACTGGGTCTCAGGGCGCTCGACCGGTTCCACCTCATCGTGAGCCAGCTCGTCTTCAGAGGTCATGATGCATGCCGATTTTTAAGTTCCTTGTCGAGCTGTGAGACTCTGCCTAAGGGAATCGAACTGCAGGCCATGATTATAGGCATGCCTTTGAACTTCCTTTTCGAGTTTCTTGACATCCCGTCTGAGTTTTCCGTACTCTTCCTTGCTATCACCATCAAGGTCAGCGAGACGGCGCCGCATTAACCCCTTCAATCTCTGTATACGTCGCTCAACTTCGTCTGGGCTACCTGGCGGATTTTGTATAGAGGCTGCGTGTTGATAACACCTGACTATATTGAGGGAGTGTGAGTCGTCCTCATCGGGCTCCCTCTCCTTGTAGGCGTCAAGGACGGCGTCCGCGTGTGGCAGAAGTGAGTGATAGTACTCCAACTCCTCGTAGTCCCTGTACTCGCGGTTGAGTGCCCCAGCCACTAGCGCCAGAGCCTGCTTGCGGAATTCGGCTTCTGTATCTTGCAGTTGGAGCCTCGCCCGTGCAGCGTCTCTGACCTGCGACGCTAGCGAGAACTCGCCAGACCTTTGCATCTCGACCAAGCGGAAGGATTTCAGAATCGACATAGCCATGGTAAAATTTAGGGGATCTTGACCCAGCAAGAGCCGCCGCGGAAGTTCGTGAGGGTCAAGGAAACACATGAGAGACAAGATGTCCATGGTGAATGTAGATGGCGCATCCTGCTCCGATGCTCTCGCTTTCCGAGACTCTCCAGTTAGCTCGCCCTGTCTCCGCTTCTCGCGTTTCACTAACTCTTCCTCCCGGCTTTCTATGAGTTTGAACAATATCTGCGTTGTCCTTGTGGATACGGTCTTGTCGTCATTGTCACGCTTGAAGCGTTCTGTGTACTCTTGGATGCTTAGGCAGCCGTTCGATATTGCCACTGCTGCTCGCGTTATCTCTAGTGGCGAGAGCTCCAACTCCTTCATAAGCTCCGAAATCTCCTTGCTCGCGTTCTTTTCCCGAGGTTGTACGTGTTTTCGGAGCAGTCTCGCCGCCTGTTTTGGTGTCATTCCGTCAACATCGATAGACCTCGTGCAACCGAGGTTGCCAATAAACCCATCGAGTCTTGTTGTAATAAGAACACAGTTGTTCGTTCCTTTGGGTATGTATCGGGCCGGACCTTCTCTGTCTTCAGATAGTTAGGAAGATCAAACAAGGGTCAACTTCAACTGGCAATTTGCAGCTGATAATTTATTGAGGATTGGGTAGGAAAGTAGGATACAAACTTGGATTTGCAGCTGTTTGATCGGGTCCTGCCAATTGGCTCCAGTTATCTACATGATCGACAATCATGAGCCAAGGGTATTTGGTCTCATCCTCCAACCATCTCTTCACCGAATCCAGAATGTTTTCGTCCGCAGGTTGTTGTGGGACCTTTGCCCTTTCGGCGATCTTCTGATATGAACGCTCGAAGCTGGCCCTGGAGGCACCTTGCACCCAGAACACCGATATATTCGGATACCTTAGGCGAAATTGGAATGCAAATTCGGCCGCTATTTTAGTTTTCCTAGATATGTATTAGCCCGTAGAAGAAGCACGCTATGGATGTTAGACATAGAGAACGCAGACCCGTATCCGGCCTTCCCGACCAGGGCCACTCGACGATGTTCACCTGAATACGGACGGAGGCGCTTTTCTAACTTTCGGAGGCAGCGCCGTCGCCCCAAACACCCTGTGTCTTGGAAAGGAACCGTAAAATATGGTTCAGTTTCAATGGCGACTGTGGCATCTGCAAAAGACAGCTCAGTTAGATCAAACTCCGTCTAAGGATCGCATACATCCATAGGCATACCCAACTTCCGACTAACCACGACCGCGGGAGCATTCCTGACCATTCTGTCAACCTCCCTCAGGAGTAATTGGAAGTTTTTGTCAGTTGCGCCCGTAAACTTGTTGAGACCGGAGTGGTTAGCTGCAAAACCTATTCTTCTTTTCCCATCAAGGCTGGCTGACATTCGATCGACAACCTAGTTCTGTTAGCGGAGGAAAACAAACAAAGCATCGTCGAGACTCGCCAGCACGCTCCATATTCCAAACTTCTGACGCCATTGCTCATAAATGCACACCATGTCAAGATCTTGGCACCTATTCCAAAAATCCCTTGAAATTTCATCGAGGTTGCTGCTATGTATCACCAACGACTGTACCAATTCTGCGTTGCGCCTGCGGATCCCATTCACCCATCCGCCGAGTTTCGCTAGTCTAGTTCCTTTGAAAGGTGTGCCTAGAAAGATCAAGCCGCTGACATTGAGATGTATGTCTCGATAGTCCCGATAATCACTGGCTAGTATAAGTGCCTGCGTATATTCAAGTCAAAGGAGATTCACCAGTACGATGGCCGACTTTAGCAGGGTACCTTTTGGATGACAATCCCTCCCAGACTGTGTCCAATAAAAACAATGGGCCGTCTGCCATGCTAATACCGATTTCAGCATCGAACAATATCTGCTGGGGGAGAAGATATTGTCCATTGTGAAGGCTGCGCACGTACAGCGTCTTGGTGTTGAAGTATGTAATTTAACAAGGACTCTGCGTATTGCCGCAAGTCGCCGCCCAACTTGGCCGAATCGTAACTGAACGAAGCAACTAACGCATTACAGGACAGCTGTTTCGGCAGGAGCTCTTTGAGCAGCATTGGGCCCTCGATAGGCTTGCGCCAGCAGCCAGCAGGGGTGTGTTTTACCCAAGTGTGCCATGGCTCACTACCGAGTCCTTGGACGGCAATGATACCGCGAAAAAGTTAGAATTCGAGATGGGAAAATGAACTGGTGGATACCTACTCTGATTCGGGCCGGGGGTCTCGTTTCCAATACCAAATGTTCAGCCCGGCCTTGGCTGGGGGCGACCCCTCAACGGTCGCCTTCTTATCGCGGTTTTCGCGTTTCATTCAGCTGAAGTGCGTCCAGTACTGAACGGCGCGGGATGTGCTCTGACTCTTTGTGTAGCCTGCTGCGTATAAGTAAAGCGAAGCAGCATTTCAACAAGTGCCAGCCCGTCTGGATGAGGATGACTATTCGTCAAAATGTGTGCCGTTGATGGGGCCTTCTTGGGAAGTCCGCGTGCAGATTCACACAAGTTGTGGCGCTGCCGGGAATGGGTGTCAAATGCGAGTTGCAACGTCAGAATGCTGTAGCAGGATGCTTCTAGCACAATCATTGACGTGGCATTTTGCATGCGCAGTCAATTCGCGCGCAAGATGACGATCCTACCGACCAAACTTGATTGAATGCTTGCTGATAGGCAATTGGAGCACACACTTTGTGCCATCCATGCGATCAGGGGTGTGATGCATTGTGATGGCTGTTCCGATGAGGACTTACGGAGTTACTTGATGCCGGCCGGTGGGTCCCTTTCCGACAGCTTGAGCGGCGTGGGCCTGGCAACCAGCAGAGAGTGAACTTGCTCACTGTTTTTGATATAACGGGCACACCAGGTGATGCTTGCGGAAATGCATATTCAAGACATAAGTCCACCACCCAGGCAATGTAACACCCTAGCGTTGCAACACGCGTTTTATTCCACCCCACCACCAGACCATCTCAATCAATCCAACTGCCACTCAACCAATTCACCATTAATTACGCGTAAATGGCCTCAAATCGAGAGATCAGAATCCAACAGGCTATCCAAGACTTCGAAACACGCAAATATCCCTCAATTCGCGCGGCTGCGGCCGCAAACGACGTCAACTACGCCACGTTAAGTCGCAGACTAAGAGGCACTCAATCGGCCACGCTCGCCCACGAACCACAGCAGTTATTGTCGAATATACAGGAGGAACTGTTAAAGAGATGGATACTTGATCTAGAGGCTCAAGGACACGCGCCTAGCTATTCTGCTGTGCGAGTTCTCGCAGGGATAGTTAGCGAGTCGTCTGGCGGCCCTAGTTAGGTCGGATATAACTGGCTACCACGGTTTATCCAGCGACATCCTGATATCCGTTCAAAGGTAGGCCGAAAGATCTCTGTTAAGCGCGTCAATTGTACACTTCCTGAGCTACTTGAGGGGTGGTTTCGCGGTCTACAATCGATTAAAGTACGATATTCGATCCTACCATAGAACACCTTCAACATGGACGAATCTGGACTGGCCCTAGGCGTTTGCAGTAATCAAATCGTTATTGGAACATCGGCTACTACTAGTAGTACGCAAAAATCGCCTGAGACGCGTGAATGGGTAACGCTGGTCGAGGGGGTCTCAGCCACTGACAAGCGGATTAGGGCGCTAGTTATCTTCAAAGGTAAAGCGCTACAGACCACTTGGTTTGACGATTCTAGTCCTAACTATCTATACACAACCTCGCTAAATGGCTGGACATTAAACGAGATCGGTCTGCGCTGGCTAGACTAGATATTCATTCCTCAAACGACGACAGAAGGCACTGCTCGCGGCGAGTATCGACTACTACTACTGGATGGCCATAAGAGTCACGTTACGCATGAATTTATGTGGAAATGCCACCAGAATAACATCGTTGTGTATTATCTTCTACCGCACTCAAGCCACGTCCTTTAACCACTTGATCTTACCTATTTTTCGCCTGTTAAGTCCCGTTATCGAGCGCAGATCGCTGATCTAGCTAGATTCGACGATGCAAGCCTAGTTAAGAAGACCAGGTTCTTACAGATCTATTAGAAGGCTAGCTAGGAAGGTCTCAGTGTCGCCAATATTAAGTCTGGCTGGAAGGTCAGTGGTATCTATCCATGGAATCCACGGAATGCTATTCGATCTAGCCTAGTCCTTAAGGACGCCGCAATCGCTCAGATTACGCCACGAACACCGCCTTCTCGCAAGCGAAAAGCCTTCGAGGATAATGTCTATTCTACGCCAGTCAATAGACGAATTTATGACGATTCAATGAACAGGGCTAGACAAGAGGAAACGATCTTAAGACCACTCCGCAGGTTCCTGGGTAAGACCGGCAAAGAACTCGATCGTTTACGGTGGAATAATCAACAGAAGGATCGGCAAATCGCTAGTCTAAAGGCTCAACTAGAGCGATCGAAGGCCCAGAGGCAAAAGGGTAAGGCAATTGATGCCAACGAGACCTTTGCTAGCATCGAGAGTATACAGGCGGCCAAAGAGGCATTGGCCACGTTGGCGGCGACGACGACAGCGACTAGGAGGACTAGGCAGTCTACAAACAACAGGAATAGCACCTCAAACGACCCAATTGCGGCGTTTATGAACGTGTTCCATGTCAACGATAGTGCTAGTTGAGTAATTGAGACTTGTTCTGTTGCAACAGTTGTAAAATCGCGTGTTGCAACGCTAGGGTGTTACATTGCCTGGGTGGTGGACTTAGACTTCAAAAGCTTTTTTGTTCTGGCAGCCCCGTCGCGTTGATACAAGGAGACAACCAGCTGCCGGGACAACAAAATCAAGTCTGTCGTGCTGTTTATTGCGCCTGCCATGCTAACAGGATTTTGGGCAGCCAGTCCCATGTACTATTCGACTCCTAGAGGTTGCAGACGACAACAATTCCAATGTTCACCAGCCCAACCACGTGGACCAACCATTAGCCCTTCCTTTTTCTTGGCCCATTCGTGGGGGCTGAATTTTCTGCCCAGCTGTTTTGGCGAATCACAGGTTACTATACTACATTAGGCTAAGCGCTATTCTACTGCTGTGTTGTCAACGCCTAGGTTGGGCACTGTTCTCGCCGGCCGTGGAAGTTGGAAATGATTGGGTGGAAATGCGGCAAGATGCAGCATGGCTTGCCTGCTCGCTCGATCCAACTCAGGCGGGACCTCTCTAAAAGGCAACGAGCGACTATCTCGACGCAGCCATTGTGCATTTCGCTATTTCTAGATCAAGACCAACTTTAAGAGCAGACTTTTCACAAATCGACAAGATTAAGTGATGGAGAGACAAGCTCGAGTATCATAGCATTCCTAGCAGTCGCCCAAGGACAAAAGGGTGGGCTATACGCAGATCGGCCCGCTGTGGACATGGACGAGGTACCAGGAATACTTCCCGATCAAGAAACACTGCTCTGACAGCATTGGCAGACTGAAGAGCTGTCTCCCTTCACGGTTAACTTGCTGGTCTCTTTAGACTCAAGCGAATCAGAGTCTTCAATAGGATCCCTTTTCCCGGTCACATATCGAACCGACGACGATATCGCTCTTGTAAAACCTAATGACGAAGACTTCCTCTCATCTGAGTTCTCTGTCGACAGGCTGAACGATGTCTACAAGTACCTTTGGTTTGCTGGGCTTCCGATGCCGCCTCGCCCGTTGCACTACCATGTTAGACACAGCCTTGCGGAAGACCGACTACGAGTCGCACGAGCACGACTCACCACGCTCATTGGACACTTGGAAGGATCCACGGAGGAACAAGGCTAGGTCACGTGATATGCCCTGTTGGCCCTGTTGGCCCTGTTGGCCCTATTGGCACAGAGCGCACAGAGCGCACAGAGCGTAGCAGAGCACAAGCATTATATATACACCCTCATCACCCTAGGTAGTTACACTCTCTTCGTAGCCAACTCATGTTATCTACTGGACTATACAGTTCTTAGTAACAGAGAACCCTGCTCATATCTTGTGTCTTCCCCAACCAGCTCATGCTATCTTAGGATTGTTACTGAGAACCCTAACCCAGTTAGGATCAGTAGGGATCCTTAACATATTAATTGGTACTCCAGAGAGAGATAATCATTAGCGAGAAGATGGATATGTACCTGGTCTGGGGCAGCGGGCGTATCTTCCTCAAGCCGATCCCACGATTTATCCTCTCCCCCGATTTCTGGAGAGCCCACTTGCGGTGTCAGGATGGTTGTGACTGCTCCAAAGGCCAAAGTAAGGGGCAAGAAACGGCATCATGGCAAAAAGAGGACTAACACAATGGCAGAACAATGCACAACCAAGACACTCAGGCGTATAGCCCTAGGGTTCCTGCTAACCTATGCAGCCCTCCTTTCGCACGAAAGCGATTTCGTCATCGCCAAGGACAAAGGATTGCTGCCGAAGGAAGGCGATCTTCCCAAGTGGGCCGACTGGCGGAAATTCGTGAAAGAGATCCTCGCTCCGACGGTGTACAAGGACATTCACAGGCGATTTTATTACGGTGAGCTGCGCCTCGGGCGGCTTAACGCCATTTATGTGTTCTACAGGTTTGGATACTATATGAATCAGTGGCCGAACTACGCCAGCTTCCTCCGAGACCAGCTGGGCTGGCTCGCGGCGACGACCATCTACATCGCCCTTGTGTTGACTGCGATGCAGGTCGGGCTCGCAACGGATCAGTTAAAAGCGAACGATCAGTTTATGACAGCGTCGTATGGATTCAGTGTACTTGCCATTATGGGACCGTTAGTGGGTGGGATCACGATATTGCTAGTGTTGGTGGTTCTTGTTGTCATCAATTGGAAGTTTGAAAAGGTTAAGTCGGCGAAGCGCTTCGAGCACATAGAGGGCAAAGGAGGTGTACAAGTGTAGTCCTCCCGCAGAGAAATTGGTCAGGATGATCAAGTTAATGAGTGTAGAATTGCCACCCGGCCTCCCTCACTACCGTAGGCTCCTATGGTCTATTACACGACTCTTACAAGCTATACATAGCTTCTCGTAATAGCGAACGCTATATAATGTCGTGGTGCTGTATCAATTAGAAGATGTTTTCCGAGGCGGACGAGCCTGGTGTAACCCGAGCAGATATGGTGACCATGTTGTGTCGAAGTTGGGCCTGGACTCTAAGTGTCATGCTCGCGGGACGGGACCTTAGCTTGCTGGAATTGTCACCTTGTGAGAGACGGCCAGGGTTCGAGATAAATTGAGGGTTGATGGGCGGGGTCTGGGCCTAGTGCAGGGTAGACCGATGCCAAAAACCGGAATTCGGGTTCTTCGAGCCTTTTGTTTATCAATTCAACGCAATCATCTTCGGTAAACCCTAAAACGCACACAAGGGTGCCTATTACGCACACATCCCAATTAGGTTAGCACAATCCGATTCGGTTAGCTCCTGTCTTGGCATAACCCAGGTAACCCCTTTCCATTCTATCTCTGCCTACCTCTCCTCGATCACAACCCTCTCAACAACATATTCCTGGCCCGCAACAACCTATCATTGCGCCTATTACTGCGCCGCATAGCCATGTCGACTCCCGCCCACCTAGCCGCGGAAATGGAGGCCCTATTGGCCTATGAAACATCCTCAAATGATGAGTTCTATGAATGCAACTCCGACCCGGAGGTCGCGGAGGGCGTGGCGGCGCAGGAAGATGCCCCGGAGGCTCTCGACGACGCGCAACCTAGTGAAGAGGCCGCGGAGGCGCAGGAACAGGGCCCTGTGATTCCATTTGCGCTCCCGCCTAGTGACACTATATTTCACTCACTTGAGGAGGCCTGGGAGTTCCTTGATAGGTGGACAGGGCCTCGCGGATATGGCCTTCGCATGCATCGACAAGGTCGTCCCAATCTTAGCGGCGATATCAATTCAATCTATCTAGTCTGTGATCGCGCTGACCCGCGTAACAGGAAAAGAAGCGCTGTCCATCGATTTAAGGGCACTATGAGTCGGAATTGTTACTTTCGAATCACCTTGAAACGCTTTATGGATGGCTCTCCCTGGCGACTTATTTATACTCATTCTGAGCACTCTCATGAGCCTTCATGGGGCCCTTCAACGCATCCTAGTCTCCGTCGACGTGGACGTCAAAGGTGAGATCTCTCAATTCATCAAGGAGCAACTCCATGAAGGCCTTGGAGCGCAGTTAACTGTCTCTCGAATTCGCTCACTATATGATGTTCCAATCACACTGAAGGCCGCCGAGAATGAGCGTAAAAGGCATGAAAAGATCGACTTGAATGGTAGAACACCCATTCAAGCACTTCTTCTAGCAATCGCAGAGCAATGGTAACATCGAACTCTGTACAACACCAAGAATTTAAAAGTCGAGGGCCTCGCATTCTTTCACCACAAGGGTCTTGATCTCTTTCGACTTTATCCTGATATTCTGTTGGTGGATACCACATATAAAACTAATCGTTTCAACATGCCATTGGTCAATATGGTTGGTGTGACGGCAAACAATGAATCCTTCTTCCTTGGATCGGCATTTATTAAATGGGAGGATGAAATCACTTACCAGTGGGTGTTGAGTAGTCTCTCTGAAATCGTTGAACATTGTGAGATCTCAACTCCGCGGGTTCTCATCACAGACGCCGCCTATTCCCTTGCCAATGCTATCAAGGTGTCTTTCCACTTGCCTCGCATTTACTTTGTCTCTGGCATATTAACAAGGCGATTGTGAGTAAGATCAAGAAGATATGGAGGCCTCTCACTCAACGAGACCTTGGGTTTGCAACACAGGAGGATATCGATGAGGACGCAGCAAGGATTCAAGTCCAACTAAAGCGTCTTATGAATAGCTGGTGGAAATGCGTGGATGCTATCACCGAGGAGGGTGCTAATTTAGCCTGGGATGAGTTGAAATACGAGCATCGAGGTGAGATTCAGATTGTCGACTATCTAGCCTATACCTGGTGGGCTAGAAAGGAAGGAATTTGGCGCTGTTTCACCGACAATCATCGTCATTTTGGCAATATCACAACCTCACGTCTAGAAGGAATGCATCGAGTGCTAAAAAGTCATCTATCTAGCACTCAAAGCGACATCTCAACTATCGTTTGACAGTTCGAATATATTCACAGAGATATGGGTATAGAGATCATGGCAAGACTTGCTAACAATAGTCAATCTAGAAGACCTCAGTTTAACAGCCAACTATGGGTCTTTGTGGTCACTTATATATCGATTTATGCGCTTCTCAAAGTAGAAGAAGTGTGTAAGTCTCACAATATTTATATAAATGCAACACCAGCAACCTTGCGGGCCCCTCCAACAACATGGAGACCTTGCACAGGCTCGTTCGAGCGTCGATGGGGCCTTCCATGTCCTCATATCATCCGAGCACGCATTGAATCAACGGAGCCTCTCCAGGTTGAGGATTTCGACGTTCACTGGCGTCTCGATCGATGCCGAGAGATCACATTCAACTATGCTGAGGTTGCGCAACCACCAGATATCATCCCGCGGCATCGATATGATGTGAATAACAGGCGGATGTTGACAGAGCCTGAGCGGACTGATGCCGCAATAGAACAGGCCAATCAGGAGGCAAGGAGACGTCTAAATGAGTCAAACAGAGGCCGCGGAGGCGCAGGAAGAGGCGCAAGAAGAGGCCGCGGAGGAGGAGGACGAGGTCGAGGACAGTCAACTCATATCCCAGGAACCATGACTTTTCGACTAGACTAGGTGTGGAGCGCAATACGCGGCGAAAGGAACTCCCATAGAAAATATTTAGGTGGAGTCGCCTCTAGCACTGAGACAGCACCACTTGTATCGATCCTTACATCATTCCTTGCATTCCTTGCATCGTTCCTAGCATCATCATATTTTGCAGGCCTAGGGCGCCTAGAACGCAAGCCTAGAACGCCGTGAATAGGCGCGCCTGGGGGGGCGTGCAAGGGAGAATTATTCCTGATAAGGAATGTTACCCGAGTTGCGCTAACCGAATGGGGATGTGTGCGTTTTAGACACCCTTGTGTGCGTTTTAGGGTTTACCCTTGAGCTGGGGGTCTGAAATGGATAGATAATTAAAAAGGGAACCCGAAAAGATCCTATCTTCATCCTGAAGTAGTGTTAATATTTACTGCTCGCACAACTGGCTTCTAATTTTCTATTATCCTGTAGACCTTCCTAAATTCACGCACTAGGACCACAAATCTCACCAACGGGCAGGAAGACATAAGTAGGGATTGTGTTCCGCGAATGGCAAATTATCCGTCCAAGAACCAAAAGCGAACGGAGTGGAATCGGAAATGTCGAGAAAAGCTAGCGGCGAACATCCGTAAGATCCACCAGCATCTATTCGATACATTTTGATGACGACTTTCTAGACAGTAGACTTAGAATTACGGTCGAACCCTCCTAGATACGGCTTAAAATAAACGACGACGACCTATATACGTAGGAAAAAACCGCAGCGATATACCATCTCTTCACAAAGAACCTAAGTGAATTCTCCATTAAATCTCTCCAAAAACTGTGTAAATGTATCGACGATAACTATGTCGCCGCAACTTAGAAGCCTTCCAGTAAGGCGTCTCGAACGACCCGCCTAGGAAATATACAGATAAATATACCTATTGAGGACGCTTCTCACCTAGACTATCGAGCTAACTAAATATATAAAAGCAGAGCCATTTCGAGAAATCGGATGTGAGTTTCACGGCAAGGATTAGCGAGCTTAAGAAGACCGCGGAGAGTTTAGCCCGCGAGCTGAACGAGTGGAAGGCATAAGCCAGCCTAGAGTTAGAAGAGAGACAGAAGATAGAAGAGAAGGCGTCTCGAATGAAGATCGCCCTTCGGGAGGCCCGAGAGAATGGTTGAAAGCTCGAAGGGTATATCCAGAGATGGAAAATCGAGGTAAAGAAATCTAGTGACGATGCTACTAAGTTTAGGAAAGTTATAGATATAATCCTTACATTACTTAAGGACTTCGGTTCGAGTATTTAGGAGGAGTCCTTCGGCCTCAAACTGAGTCCTCGAATATAGGAATTTAGTAACTTTAGATACTTTACACTATTTCGAATCTAAAAACCTATGGGTTAGGGAACCTCGTTGCGTTCTAAGTGATCATCTATATAGCGATTAATCTCCGCGAGCTTAGCGACTAGAAAAAGGGACCATTTTAGGCTCGCGGCTTAATTTAGCTCCCTTAATCTTCTATATACTTCCATTACTTAAGGCCGTTTTAGGACGCTATCACCCTCAATGATCTCGCTAGATCACTAAAGACTGGTGACTAACTAGATACTAACTCTGCTATTTTAAAGAGACACCGTATAGCACCGCATCTCACTTAACTAGACTCGGCCTTTTCTAATAGATTCTTAGGGAACTCATAGCTTTAATATAACTAGCTTAAGACGACTCGTTCTTATCGTAGTATTATCCGATATCTCTTCCGTTTCCTACCTCGGAATCGCTATTATCGAGAATTAGTGTGATGTCGAGGTCTATATCTAAAGTGTTGCAAATGTCCCCAACGACACAACGAATTATCTGGAGCTAAATATCGGTAGCTACAACGAGATATATCGAGTTAACCCCAACGATGGAGGCATCTCGTTGAAGATTACCACGGTTACCGACGATTCGTTCATTACGTAGTTCGAGTACACCTATTACCCTAACAATCCGATACTAGCGTATAACATCTCGAATATTAATGAGTATCCGTTCGAAAACTAGGGCCTCTACCTCTCACCGTCTTTCGGCGACTGCTCGAGCATCACCTACGACCCTAGCGTGGCGCTTTACCCAGATATTTATAATCAGCCACATAATGACTTTACCGTTAAATTCTATGACGTATCGACCAACTTAACTCTAACTTTATGTCCTCCTTAAACCACATCATTAGAGGCGGCCACAGTAACTGTGACGACGATCGACTCCGGGGGCGATGGCATCCTAACTACTCTCGCGACGACCATTACTTCGGTTAAACCCGTAACTACATCTTAAGGCACACTACCCGAAACTATTACCGTGAACTTAGAAAGCTCTTCCACGACCGCGACGACGACAAACCTAGAGCCTATTATCGTGACTTTAATGACAATAGACACCGCCGGCGATCCTACCTTAACCACCCTAACGACGACCATTACATCGGTCGGGCCGGTGGTCACCTCTCAGGATACAGCATTAGAAATTATCACTACGGACCCGGCCACTACGAGTATAATCACTATTAGTTCAGAAACCATACTAAGAGCCTCAGAGACGACGGACGCTGCTGGTCAACTTTCGCTGACCACACTCACCACAGTAATTGCAGTTACTACCCTGGATTAATGAGAATTTAAGTATATTATCTAAAGATTATCATCTATCATTAGCGGAACACACAGCGCGAAACTAGGAACATTCACAAATTTGAAGGCAACGAGGTCGATGGGGGTGGGCGGCGCTGCTCTGGGGATATAGCTACTGAACGGGTACGAACCTCTTACGTTCTGCATACATAGAGTCTTTACTAGTAGCTATACAGTAAATATTAGCTAGTTCGCATTACTTTTTCAACCATTCTTGGCGCCTCTATTTATGGCAGAAACCGTGAAGCTTAACACTTCGCCATAAATAGTGTCGCCTCGATAGATGACACAGGCAAAGAAGAGAATAGAGTAGAGTTCATTTACAACTTAACTTTTAGTATACTACAGCAGCTCTCTACGGCCTAAAATTTTAGATCCGACCATTGTTAGGGCCCATTTTGTCACCCGAATAAATTGAGAATGGGGTCTATAAACGGCTCTTAATAAGTTGTGAGAACTAGATTCGGCACCCTTTAGGAGCCGCATATAGACCCTCTTTTCATATTAAGCCTTAGAGAAACTGCAAGTATATAGTACAGTACTTTACAGTACACAACTTCAATATCTATCTAAGGAAGATAATGTTAAGGAAACAATGAGCTCCTCGTCACGATCCCTACCGCTGATGAAATTTCCTAAGAACTCTCCGTCTTCCGCACCCGCTACTGAGACGAAACGGACTCCAGTACCCGAAACGCATATACAGCAAGCAACATATTCTAAAAAACGATATATGACCATTCTCCCTCCAAAGTTAAGGGAACAGCCGTCTCATTCGGAGTCCAAGTTTCCATAGGCTCCTCTACCACTGCCTTCGTTTCAGAGAAATGAGGCTCGTCTCCCTAGGCCACTTTCGACGAACCCGCTACGCTCACAATCTCGATATATAGCGATGCTCTTAGAGCTTAATAAGATTCCACGTCGCTACAACTTCTATACTAGCTTATTTACGTAGTTAATCCTAGCTAAATACATTATATTCCCGGGCACGTTTACCTCTCTTAAAAGCTCTAATTCGATGTAAGTAGCGGTAAGTAAGACTTCTATAGAAAAAATTATTCTAGACACCGTTTAGAATGTCTCGCTCCTCTAGATAGTAGGAGCTTACTATCTCTTTAGGGTCGTTAGCATCGCTCTACTCTAGAAAAGATGGAAGAGAAACTATATTTAGTTAGTAAATCGAATATTCTTATAATGACTACTCAGCCGGCAGCTGAAAGCAGACGCTGACCTTATAATATTAGACTAACTTTGCTTAATGCCATTCTCGATCTAGTTAATACACTAATTAATGTGTACACCGCTAAGGACGGGAACTAGTCCGTGACTGCGACCATCACGGTTATAATAACGAGTGCGTGTATAGGGATTAGCTTAATTTTATTCCTGGTCTACAATAATTAGTTATTATATTAAGTCAAAAAGGACCACGATACTCAGATCGGCAATGAGCGCGGAACAGAGGCGTCATTACGACTGGGATAATGGGCTCGGAATCTTCATTATCTAAAAGCGATGCAACACGGTGAAGAACGGAGACTACTTTTAAACTATAGCATATTTCTTCGAAAATTTAAAACGTATCTGGCGTATAGGTGGTCGAACTACTCGTGGCATCTTAATTATTTAGGGAAGAATAGCCTTCAGATACTAAGCTCCGAATAAATAGATTAAAAATCATTCTTCACAGTCTTAAATACAACAGTCTACCCAAGTATAAAATCTTTTATAAGGTTCTAGAAAACTCATTCCATTAGCTCATATATCGTACTTCAGCTGCCGTTAAATATACACTGAAGATACCTCTAAAATCAAGGAAGATATTTTATGGACGACTATTTACATATGAAGTCACCAAAGCTCTTATGTCTTTCCTTAGACGGGGTTTCTTTCTCCACGTAAACGTCGTGCGAGCTGTATATCTTTTGATTCTAAAGACGTTAACTAAGAATATCCTCTCGTAGGAAGCAGAAATTAGCTCACGAATAGTAACTCGTTTTACGTGGATAGCGCAGAGATTAGAATCTTCGAATAGACTCGCAAGATATAACTCGAGAGCTTCTTACAGAGCTTCGATTACCGTCGACTGAAATCGAAAACCATCCCCTTACCATTTCATCTGGGGGGTTCTTAGATCGTCTATAATTTCACGGATAAGCCGTTAAAATGGACGTTTGCGAATAAGTAACTCTATAGATTTCTAATAGCGACGAATCTCTCTTAGAGTAACCGTTCCTAGTCACCGTTAATCATAATTTCACTTACTTAAATATAAGATAATAGAAGAGTAAAGGACAACCCTACCTAGCTTATATCGATGCGGTTTCTTTACACGGCCCGTGCTGTTAGGGAGGCGCTTCCCTAAGAGCTAATCTTTCGCAAGGCTTCTTAAGTTTCTTCTTAGGGCGACACCCCCAGTGCTCTTTCCTATATATCATCCTCAACATAAATTAGGGATAATAATTAAGGACAATCTTATATGCGGTTTATTTCGTCCTCGCCATGAGAGGACACTCGATGTTGAACCTTAAAGTAATTTGCCGGATGAGGATTTATTTAATCGTCATCAAAGGGTCCTAATCTAGCTCGCTCGTGTGACATTAATCTTTTTGGTCCCTTTTAGACTACTGGGACCGAATTGAGCTCCCAGAGTCCTTTTACGCTCTATTTAACTAGTTATCTTAAATATAAGCATCTCACCTCTAATATCTAATTTAAGGTGAATTATTATTCATCTTCTATTAGCAAGAGTGTCATCTAAACCGAAGTCCCTCGTATCTCGTCTAAGCTCTGCCCCTACGGGTCGCTTTTCTTTGAAAATTCCTTCTTCTTTTAACATAATGTTCTCCAGCTCTATTGGTAAGACTGTCGTGGTTCTTCTTTAGTTATAACGAATGTCTATTGGACGAGCTATTCCAGCCTCACCCGATAACTACGAGTTAGCATCGAACAATACCGCAATAGGTCTTAAGCCTTAGCGGAGGAGTGAAGACTGGCCAGTGAATGTCGCATTTACCGCTGGCACGCAGACGCTTGGCTTTGAGCTCCCACGAGATGGACAGATGCACCACTTAGGCTCTATCGAATGTCTCGCACTTCCTTCGTACTCCATCGGCGACTGCAACGATATTAGTGTCTCTTAGATTAGTGTTACGTTAGGAACAGCACCATGTACATTCATGAGTATCGATGGGTTCTAAATCATAATTACGGCTAATGATAAGGGGTACATAGAGGTTACTCCCCCGTAAAATATCGTCTATGGTTCTTGTGGTTAAATGCAGAGGAGGAAAAGCTTATGGTAGAAGGGTGATTCGAGTTCGTAGGCGGTTAGAGGAGACTGAACGTACCAATACTTACGACGAGACGTTAGGTAGATTTCTAATAATATAATCTCGTTTACACCTAATCTAATTCCTTTAAAAAGCTATATAGGCGGAGGGAGGAAGAGATGCCTATAGCCACTCTAAATGTCGGCTTCGGCCACTCTTCGCACATCCTTCAGCGAGTCTTTATATGCTGTAATCTTTCTACGAAGCGGAGTGTAGAAATATATTTAGGATTTAGTTAATGACGAAGTGATTAAATTCTATGTCTATATGAGCTTCCTAAGGCGAAATAGGAAAGGTGCTGGCTATATCGTATTATAAATTCCGGTATCGATCGTCTAATGTAGGCTAAAAGATATAGAAACTGGCGAATAAAGAGCGAGAGTCTATCACTATACAATACGATATAATAGTAAAGAGAATGATAGTAAATTAGAAAGCCTCGAAGTGCAATTGTCATTAATAACTCTCCCCTCCTATTCTTCTTCTCTACGAGACCATCTTAATAGTCTAATGCGGATTCTAATTAGGCTTCTACTGAATATCTCTTCTGGCTCTAAAGTGATACCTACATAGGGACTATGAGAATATAAGAGTGCGAATAAACCATGTAGAATCTTGGTCACTCGTTAGATTGTAACTTAAACCAATCTCCCTAGAACTCTCTTAGAAGATTCGGTTTCTTCACTTCTGTGCTTTGGGTTAATTAACTACGAGCTATGGGCAATATTGAAATCTTAATAGCGGAGGACTTCGAGAATTGTCGTCGAGAGTTTAGGAAACTCAGCCGGAGGCTTAGCAAGGATTTCAGCCCCGAAGACTGTGAAGATATACTCTTTGAAGCTATGGACTATGGATTAGCCTTTATACTGTACTGCAAAGAACTTTAAAGTAAGTATACTTCGAAGCGTCTCCGTGATGAGGTGGTTACTATCAGCGACAGTGACAGCGATAGTAAGTGCTTACCGCCATCATCTATACTTGGAAGCTAATTACTCTTAGGCGGCGATGCAGCCCTAACCTCGAAAATCCTAGATATGGCGGTTAGTAAGAAACGTGTTCGAAGGAATGACACCGACAGTGAAGGTATGGATAGTTTAGTGAGCCTACATTCTTAAAACTAACTTCGCTCTAGGCGAGGATTATTTAAAGCCTTCGAAAAAGGTGCGAATGAACACGACTAAAAAGCGCACTCGAAATATAATGAAAGACTCTAGTGACGGTAAGTTTACGGCTGGATCGCTCAAAGCGCTACGCTAACTATTTCTAGACGGACAAATAGAGAGTGCTTCTAAGAAAGCTCGTTTAGGTGGATAGAAGGTAGAAGCTACCAAAGTATTTAAAGAACTCGATACGCTATTAAAGATAACCGTTAAAGGACCAAAGTAGGGTCGATTCTAGAGCTAGTGAGATAGAATACTATAGAGAAAAAGTTTAGGAAGGAAACGCCAGTCCTGGAGGTCTAAGGGGAAGGGGGAAATAGAAGGTAAGAATAAAAAGAGCGAAAAGAAAGAGGGAACGAGCGGAGCAACCAATGTACACTCGTTTCGTTGTATTTAGTCTACGGAGAATAGTTGTTAGTTGATCTAACCTATTAAAGAATATACAGTCTTTAAACAGCATTAAATGAAGATTCTGCGTAGATTTAAAGAACCTAGATGAGGGTTATAAGTATACTAAGATAATTAAGAGGAAGAACGATAATAGTCGTCGCTAAGCTATACATTATAAATCGTGTAGGGAGGGCGGCGATCATTACATATTCGTTCTACGCCGGTTAAATTAAAGTACGGTCTTAAACAATTCTCTAGATATCGATGAAAGGAGTTTAGATTGTTCAGCCTTATTACTAAAAATGATTCTTTATAATCTTGAACGAGATAGGAATCGCAGTACATCTAAGATTACGCAATAAATAGGGCCGGAGTTGGGTGTTCTAATCTACGAGAGGACGTCAACCTTATAATTCGAAGTTATTTAACTATGATAACCGTGGCCGTAATAGTGGTTCTACTTCTACTTCCTCCTCTCCGCCTCGATTTCTATCTTCTCGATAAGCTATCTTTTCTCCTTAAGACGCCGCTCTTTCCCTTATACTATAGTATTTAATTTGGGCATTTCTCTCTTCCTTACCCGGTAAGGCGTCCTCTTATTCCACTTCTTAGAGCACCTCCTAACGAGGGATTTAATTCTCTTTAGCCGCCGCATACACTTCCGAATTAAATTTAGCTCGAGATATCTAAAATTCTAAGTAAGATTTGACGAGTAAGATTTACTCGGAGCCGACGGTCGAGATTTCCTAGTCTTGCGAATAGTACGATGTTGTTTAAGTCTCTCTCTCTCTAATAATACTGCTTATCTCCGATCCTCTTTCTGAACTATCTCTCTAGTCTACTTAGAGTTCGCTATTCCAGTTATAACTCTAAGCGGAAGGATTCTAGCTAGCTTACCGAAAAAGGTAAGATACGAGGAACGACGTACGAACCAAAACGACATCTCTCCCAGTTCTTAAATGCTTACGTCGTGTAGGTTTTCTAGAAAGAGTAAAGATCTATCTTTCTAATGATATTTACTATATAGAGTTCCATATCTCTTTATCTTAGTGTTAGAATTAATATCGTCGATAAAAGTGACGTACTTCTTTAATACCGATAGAGGAGGTAGGGAATCCATTAGCTCATGAATCTCGGGAGACTTAAAGTTTAGCCGATGAATAAGAACCGTAAACTTAAATAAACCGGTCGTATCTACTTCTTTTATTTTCGGTTTTACCAGTAAATCTCTCTTCTTCGGGCGTAAAGCTATGTCGGGGTAGTTACGTATTATAGAAATGAAGATCTATCTAATCCCCCAGTCTAGTCGGTTAGCTTAATTCTCTAGCGCTGAAATAAACGTATGTTCAGATCTCTAAATAACGTAGTAGCCGGCTTATTAGTTTAGATCGGAAAACATTCGTCCTAGGGCGGAAACGATGGTCTCGCGACGCTCTAAATATATCAACCGCTTAACGCAGTCGATAGAATATTCGAACTAGTTTAAATCCTCAAAGAAGCTTAAGAAAGTAGGGACTAAGCGATTAGATATAAAATTCAGCACTCTAACCTAGATCTCCTCGCGCTCACGGCCATTAAATGCGCCGAAAATCTAACCACTATTTAGTTAATAGCGTAGAGTCCGAGTATCCGCTCTATAAGCCCTAGAAGCCATGAGCTCTAAGGCTTTAACGGTGGCTTCGTCTACTTTCTATAGAGCCTCGCTATCTCCCTAGATAATTTCATACTAGAAATTCTTTATAGAGATAAGATAATTAAGAATATACTTTAACTAATTAGAATAAGCGTACGATCGAGAGTATAGCTTACCTCTTCGATTCTTATAGAAAGTATTTTATATTACGTGGTTAACCTCTAATCTTTCCGAAGTCTAGGGGCGTCTAGAAGATCGTCGTACGTAGACATAATATCGTTATAGTGTAAGAGCGCTACGACATTTCGTTGCTCGTAGTAGAATAGGTGCGCCCGCCACCGCTTCTCGAATCATAAGTTATCGATACCTTAGTTCTTTTACCGATGACACCGCCGCATTCTATAATAGATCTCACCAGGATGCCACTCGTTATTAGCGTACTTCTCGACTAATGTCGCCACTAGCCCCGGACCTAGATTTTATAATCCTAAGAAGTTATTTATATAAAGAGTTATAAGAACTAAAGTATATTAATAATATAGAAGTCCATCGTCTAACGTCTCTCTCCTAGAGATAAGACTTCTATAACGGTACGCACCCTTACTTAGCTATGTAGACATTCTAAGCGAGAACCAGAAGGAAACTCTAGCTTCGGATAGTTACCGAGCGTATCTATAACTAGCCACTCGGCGGGAATCCTAGAGTTCTACAGTGCTCTATTAAGTAGTCGTTAATTAATATATATAGAGATATAATTCTGGAGCTTCGTAATCTAGCAGCCTTTATTACGGAATATTGTGACTAGTCTTTCCACGTTACTCTCGTGAGCAGAATCCCCTAACTTATTAGATCGAAAATATAATATTTCGATCTCAATATTCGCTCCGTCCATTGTCTCTTAATATCCTAATCAGGACCGTTTTATGGGTTAGAGTACTAGTAAGAGACATAATCTATTATACAATACTGTAATACTAAACTCCTATGCGTTTTATATTCCTTTCTCTATTAGACTAGATAGCGTCCCATATAAGCCCTCCCGTCGTCTAGGCACTTTTGGGCTCCTAATTCGATTTAGGCTCTCGGCCATACTCGAATTACTTATGTTAAGGCTTATGGAAAGAGAAATATAGGTAAGGGCACTTAGGTAAGCGAATATAGATAGGAAGACCTGGGTAGATTCTATAGAGAGTTCACTATTAAAGCCGAAAAAGCTTCGAGATATTATACAGATAAGGATATATAAATACGGAGATATAGATAGGCAGACCTAGGTATATTTCCACGTAACTAAAGTAATGCCGAGAGCTTAAATCGACTCTAGAGCTCGAAGATAATTTTATAGAGTGGGGCCTTTCGAGTTACTTAGGTTAAGACCTATGGAAAGAGAAGTATAGATAAGTATATCTAGGTAAGCGAATATAGATAGGTAAACCTGGGTACATTCCGTATTACCGAGGGCCTAAATCGGCTTAGGAGTCTAAAAGTGTAGCTTCGGGTGACTTAGGTCGAAACTTATAGAAAGAGAAATATAGATAGGCGAACCTAGATATATGAAATTTCCGGCTCCCTAGAGGCCAGTAAACGCCCCTATGAAACTTACCCAGGTCCTCCCACCTACGTTCTCGTACCCATATATCCTTACCTATATTTCTCTTCCTATAGACCAAGGAACCAGTTTAGGAAGTAGTCCTACAGCAGTCTTTAGAAGACTAGTTAGGTTTTACAGAGAGCTAAAAACGGATCCCTTTATTATAGAGACCAGTTTAGGCACACCCCTACCGTAGATATAGTTAATTTAAGAAGCTATAAGCATAAATACGAGTTCCCCAAAGTTATAGATATAATTCCTTCCAATTAAGTCGAAATGCAGGCCTTACCTCTAGATTAAGAGCGAAGGCTTACGACAGAACTAAGTCTTAAGTATAGAGGAACGGCTAGCATAAGGGTCGACGTATTACGATTTATATATAATAAGAATGAGAATGATAACCACGAAAGCAACGTAAACAGATTGAAAACTATGTTTTCTAAGATAAAGATTACTAATGTATAAAGCTTTAAGATCACATTCTAGGCATAATTAGCCAATCCTAACTAGATACCGTAATCACTATGTCTAGGATATCGCCGGCACTACTATTAGCGAATAACTATCCGTAGCTCGATTTACTAACCGGTTATTAACTAGAATACCTACATAGATAATCTTAGATTTAGACTGTAGCATAGGTCCTACCATTAGGGGAGAGACGTTAGACGGTAAATTTATATCTTATAGGCAGGATAACTCGCCTTTCTACTCGCTAAGGCGCGTCTCGCTAACGTATTATTAGCAGATCTAACACCGAATCTAAAGACCGTGCTAATCGAGAAATATTCCGAAGAGATGAGACCTCACGATGGAGAAATCTATCGAAAAATTCGCGGACACCAATTAGAAGGAAATTCGTACTTTAAGAAACGCTGATGAGCTCGCCTCTTCAGAATATTCTCCCTCCGAAGAGAGCGCCTCGAATAGCTCTTCCGCCATAATGATTTTATCTTAGTATTTAACGCTCTATTAGATATTCCGGGGTTATAGGGTGAGATGAGAATAGGCACACTTTACAAAATGATCGCGATACACTGTGATAAGGTAAGTTCCGTATTTACGACTAAGTCCGTTTACTAACTACGTTAAATAAGGAAATCCTTTAGTATCTAAAGTATATTAAGGAGACTTAGTATAAAATTCTTCGAAAAGATATAGTATCGATTAGGAAAGTTGACTAGGCGATAGTAAAAGCACTCGAGCTTACCGCGCCGGGTGCCTATACGAGAGATACTAAAACTTTATATAGTCAGTTTAAGAGCGGACGTATTTTCGGGGCTTTCAGCGAGCTAGAGCGTGAGTCGATTTAAAAAGAAGTATTATTCTACTTCCGAGATCGGCTAATTCCTTCACTCTTCACTCTTTTTAAGGATCTTAAATATCTATAGAACCTAGCTAATAGCGTAAAGCACCTTCTTCACCTTTCCCCTCGGGATACTATTTTCTCTATCTTTAAGAACTCCTTCTCTAACGCGAGGTAGGTGGCAGATTAATATATAATCCAGATGACCGAGTTCATATTTACTATCGCACTAGGATCCTCGACGGACCGTATTCACCTAGGAATTCGGTAAATATAGATAGCAGCTATACGAGATTACCTCGAGATGTCTATAGGCCCTAAGAAAGCGAACTCATTAGCGAAGCCAGGACGTAAGAAAGCTAATGAGGTAGTTCTATATAGATTTACGTCCCTTACTTCGCGGTTAGGTTTCAACACGAAGGAGATTCGACGCCTAACGCAGCGGTCTCCTAAAAGGGAGATTACTCGCGACGCTTTGTTGAAAGTCCGGAAGCCCGACCAGTACCGATATGATAAGGCGACATTCGAGGGTTACGTAGAACAAATGTTAAAGATGTTCGACTCCGCGCGTCCGGTAATAGACGAGCCGCCTAGGAGAGCCCTCGTAGCTAATGATTCCGATAAGCCTGTTAAAAGATGTGAGATCCCGCGAAAGCAAGAGTATAATTAAGCTAAGTAGTAACTATTTCTGCGTTACCTCCACGAAGACTCCGTGAAAAACAACTAGGAGATAACGTCTTTTTTCGTGCGTCGGTCGGTGTACTTTACGTTTTTCGGAAAACCCACATCGATTAGTGCAAATGTCAGTACAATACATGAGGTCCCACAGTCGCAAATTATTATAGAAAGGCGCAAGAGCGAGGCTCGGCATAGTACTGCAAGGGTCGAATAGAGACAGAACTAAGCACCGGTCGCAGAAAATAACTAGGAGAGATCTTTATCACTGGTGCCACCACGACTAGAATAGAAAAAATCTCAACATCATCCTAATACTTAGCCGATTATAGATCCTTCCTCACTAAACTCGGGATAGTTAAACTAAATAGAAGACATAAGAATCTCTCTTAGAGATAGCTTCGGCCGAGAAGAGATTACGATGAAGGAAGCTAATATAGATTAGAAATCTAATTAGGAGATACTTAACGGAGAAGAGCTAGCGGTCCTAGACCGAATAAAGCGAGAGTCTTTAAGAAAGAAATTAGCGTAAAAGATAAAGAGACGACGGAAGAGGGAATAAAATAAGACTATAAGAAAGAGCGAAAATAGAAGTACACAACGAAGATACGAGCTGCTTCTTAAAGTAAGTACAGAACTAATGAGCGAAGAATAGAACAGCACTCTAGATAGATAGACGAATTAGGACGAATAAATAAGATAAAAGCGAGTCACTTAGATAAACCTAGATAAAGTAGAAGAAACGAATACTTAAGCGCCGATCTAAGTTTAAGCCCCGACCGCCAGCTAGATTAATTCTCTAGAGAAAATCTTAGAGATGAACTAGTTCACAGCGACATAGCCACAAGACGAGGATCAAGATATAGTGATAGAGAGCGTTGTTCACGAAGTCGCGACATCAGAGATTCTAACCCTTAATAGAGAGGTGTCTCTAGTAGAAGTAGAGGGTCGTCGCGAAGCGTAAGAGTAATAAATAGTGAAGTAAATCGACGGGGAACTAGATGAGCGACAGATGACGGAAAGAACCTAAGATAGAAAAGATGGAAACGAAGAGTAGTAAGTCAACTAAGGAAAGTAGAAGATCACTGAGAGAGAGCGAGAACAATATGCTATATAGAAGAGAATTAATGAGGCGTAGATAACCTCGCCGCGAGAGATCGCCTAGACCGAGGATTCATCCCCTAGAGATCAGGTCCTTTTAGATGAAGCGGAATAGAAATTAATCGATAATTAGATAAGGCGCGATCGAGAAGAGTCTCTATTTAGTCCCGAATCAATGTCGTCAATGGATGAATCGACGAACGTAGAGACAGCGCCACAAAGAAGAATCGAAACGGCGCCACAGCAAGAGATAAATGGGTCGGTGAACGGTATCGAAGGGACTTCACCAATGTTAATTATAGATCAGTAGCATAAGCTCTCGCCGGCCCAATAGGTAAACGCCGTAATAGAGGAGGTAGAACACATCTCCACGGCCGAAATAAAGAACTCGGCAGAACGGGAAGCGATTCCAACCCTTCCACAATCCGAGATACTTAGGAGAGGGCAGAAGAAGCTCGAAGAGCTAGGTGAACGTATGAGCCAGGACTAGAAACATTACGACGAGATCGAACTAAAGTAGAGAAAACGAAAGATACTGAATCTAAATTTAGGCCTAGCTATTAAAGGCTCTAGCTAGTTATAGGATCTAAAGTCCCCACCTAAAATACGAGAGCCGAACCGAAAACGTGTCACTTAGATCAACTTTAGTAGACTAGAGAAATTGGAGAGCCTAAAGCGAGCGCACGAAATGTTATCTCCCGAATATAATCGGGATGAAGTTCGCGATAAGGGAGAACTCATAGCTCGAGAAGATAAGATTGTTCCCGACGTATAGGAAGAGTTAAGAGGCGATGGCCAAGCGCGGTACGAGCCGCTCCCTAGCGAGGCTAACCGAGTAGTAGTGAAGAACACCGAACGGATTATCGACGACCGGCTACGGGAGCGGGAAAATGAAGAAACGACCGCGAGAGCGCGGAAGAAGGCGGCGATAAAAGAAGTTAAGAGGCGAAGATAAGAGAGAGTACGTCAACTTAAGAATAAGAAACCCGAGTTAATGTCGAAGCAAAAGATGACTAGAGAGCGAGTAAGAGATCAATAAGAGAGGTAAGTAAAGAAAGACGAAGGCATACGCCGAAAACGAACCACATAGATCGACTTTAGAAGGCTCGGAGACGCTATTCATGGGCAACCCAAGCCTAAAGAGAGCACCAGTCGGCGCCCAATCACAAAAAAGAACACCGGGGACGGACTAGCCGAAGTTATCGTACTTAATTCTAATATTATCGCGACGACTAATTAATAACTAGTAGATCCTCGGAAATTAACCACGGAAAGACCCGGTCCTTAGAAGATTCGAATCTATCTAAAGATCTCCGACGGAAGGCTTAGTGGTGAGGACTAGAAAAGTCTATCCTCACACGACGTTAATCCCTCTAAGCCGGTAGACTTTATACGATTCTTAAGGAAATACACCAGAAAGGACACCGAAAATCCGTAGAATGTGTTTGCCGGGTTCTATATAATAACCTCATTAACGAAGTTTAAAGACATCATTAAAGACGGAAACAGCACCTTATATATAACTCGAGAAGGGATTATCGACACTCATCTTTATTCTAATTCTCCTACCGATAAAAGAATTCGATCTTAAGTATATAGAAACGTAATTCTAACATTAGTCTCTAGCTCATCTTCATTTTTCGACTCATTCCTCACTAAATAAATCTTGTTAATACCTAGGATGATAGTTCTATTTATTAAATATCTTCGATAAAGAAGATTACGAAGAATAGTCTAACCGACGAGGTAGGTATAGGCGACCGATAAGCAACGCGGCCTCCCATATATAGGCATAATCTCAAATGAAAGTCGTTAACCGTCTAGTCACCGGGCTAATATTCTAGTTTCTCCAGCCTAACTTTCTTATCTACTAAGGGACGGACTAGTCGTCGTAACCGATCTCGAAGGTCGTTACTTCCAGACACTAAATTAATTAGTAGAGATCCGAAGTGAGTTAGGTAAGCTTACTCATCACTAACATTTCTCCTCTCTCGCCTAATTCCTCCTGCACCCTTTTAATGTATTTTCCTACCGCCTCCTCTCTAAAAATCGCTTCTACATCAGCTAGGCCACTGTACGCGATCGCGCGCCTACCACTATCAAATGGCACTCGATCCTAGCTTGCCCAGCGGATGTAGACCGAAATACTGAGAATCTATACGCTAAGTTAAACCGACGCTTCATGATATAGTTTCGTGTAACTTACCTTCCCCTTAGCCGACTTTTCGTCGCTTATATCGTTAGTACCGTTATCGACACTAAGTGTGTCACCGACGAGCGCATCATTCAACAAGTCTACGGCGATATATCCTAAATCTACTATAGTTAAGCGTTGTCCTGCGTGAAAAGACGGGCAATTCGATGGTCTACGTACCTTTGGTCTCTAACTGCCACACCAAATGGATTCGACGAGTACGAATCTTATAGGCATTATATCTATGAATGAGCTGCTTTAGGTAAGAAAGGTGCGAGACGATCTCAAAGCCATCCGCCATCATTAAGACCGTCTCATAAGTTCTAGCTAGGATAGTAGTACCGTGAGACCCACTGAATAAGGCTTTATGTAAAGTGCCGCTCCCGCGACTAGAGTCCGAATATCGTAAAAGCTTTCTAGTTAGGTCATCACGTAGTTCTACGAAAATGTCCATAAATTCTAGACTTTCATCCGACCAGGATGTTATTACGAAAGAATGGCTCTATAGAAGGCCAAACTAGGGAATTCATAGGTAGATGTATTGCCCCGACTTCACTAGAACTAACGAGGTGAGGCGTACTTAAAGCGTCATTACTTCCTGCTATATAATGATATACTCTCTATTTAGTATTTCTTTAATATTAGTGATCTTAACTCTAGCGAACCCGTTCCCGACTACTTCGGTTTAGTATACGATGAGTTCACATTGAACGAGAACGGCTAGTAAGAATATATTAATGATAACGTAAATATACTTCTATGAAAGAGAATAACTCTTCTTTAAGTGGCTCTATATACTATCGGTCGCCGTAATAGCTAAAGTCTAATATAGGCGAAGGAAGAACTCGTAGAACGGACGGCGAAGTAATGGGTGTAAGAGAGACACAAGAATATCTAATAATATTATTCCCTAATCTTTATTAATTCTATTAACCGGCTATAGAAACCTTTTAGAAAGTATACGATTAGTCTAAAGAGGTTTTCCGAGATCTATAGAGAAAATAGTTTCTTCTCTACGAGTATAGCGAGAACGTAGAAACCTAATAGAACCGATAATATAAGCTCTAAGGAGCGATGAAATCGCCGGTAGATACATAATATAACGTCTAAGAGATTAGCTAAAAAGCTTAGATGAGAACCCGCTATAAGAGAGATTAGATTAATGAGCGAGAGATTAGCCGCCCGTAGATCGGCCACCTAGATAGAGCGCACTTTAAAGTAGATATAAAAGACGTTAACCTCACTATATAGAAGCCCTATAATGATATTAGCCGGGTACTACGCCCTAGTTAATCGGTAACGAATCTATGAATATACGAAATATTTAAGGAAGAGAGGAACGATCTTCTTCTAACTAAGTAGAAGTCACTAGCGAAAGTTTATAAGAATAAGAAGAAATAATAAGCCGCCTAAACTAATAACGTAGGCTAGTGTAATATCCATATTAAAGATTAGAAACGATGGAAATAAAATAATAATAACCCACGAATAGAAAGGTAGTTTTATAGGCGTTAAGAAGCTCGCTAAATAGAAAAAGAGAGTGAAGTTAAAATATAATGAACTATAGTATAGTATTAAGACGCTAAACCCTTAGAGAGGAAGCCGAGAATAGAATAAGTCTCTAAGTAGTTACGGCTAACTTTAGAATAAAGTAATTAAAGCCAGAATGAGATCCTCTACCCGACTAAATCTATTCTCCTCTAACTTAGCGACAATCTATAGCCCCTGAAAGAAGTAATCGAAGTTATATCTATTAGCCCTTAGAGATTTCTCGTTCCCTAGGGCCTACTAAATAATGAATTCTAGCTAGATTAGAATTAAACTAAGAAGGAAATCTAAGATCCGTTACTTACCTTTAATAACTTCTCTACCGAAGTTATAGATATCGTCTTAGAAAGGAATTCGACCGTTAGAGAATCGGAGGGCCACCGGCGTAGGTCATCTACTCCGATAGTACCATTAGCTTTAGTATACTTTTATATTAGCTCCATTATAATAAAGCTTAGAGCCTTAAGATCTCTTAATCTAGGATTACTTAGAAGACATAGTCGATAGAGTTCCTAATGTACTATAATCTAAAATATTAGCTTAACGTAGAAGTTTATAAAGTAATTACGTACCTATCTTTACCTCGTTAGCGATATTAATAAGAATACTTAAGGTAATTAGAGAGCCGTGTTCTAGTTCTTTTTTCGCGAGGTACATAAGCCCATTAAGGATCTATTATAGTTAGTCGGTTCACTTAAAAGAGGTGAAATTTAAAACCCCCCTATTCTAAAATGAACGTTAGTTAATCCTCGTCGAGATATTTCGGAAACCTAGTGAATAGACTTAGAGATATCGATATATACTCGAAGGTAACGTAGAATAACTCGTCATAGAGAAAGATATCTCTCACGGACACGATATTCTTATGTTTAACCTGCTGCAATATACGATATTTTTCTTCACCGTTATATATAGAGAAACTCCTTACAGCGACGACGTACGGCGTCGGACCCTCCTTTTGAGGAGGGATAATAAAGTCGGCGAACTACGGGCGTCTAACATCGGCCACATCTATCATGTCGTCGTCTTCCTCGCTAAGCCGTATGCAATGGCTTTTTCTATACTTTTCCCACGGGGATTAGTGCTTTACGATCAAGGTATTCTCCGTCCTATGTCCGAGTGCTGCTGGGGGGTTTAGGGGCTTCGAACTAGTTACTGAGGTAGTACGATAGGTTCCGGACGAGAGGGCCCTCGGGAATCCTGCTACCGAATTAAATCTAGTCCTGCGGCGACTGAGAGTTTCACCATCCGTGAGGTGATCATCCTAGCGGGTCACGCTCTAAGAAGCCCCTCTAAACCCTCTAATTACATTAAAGTCGATGCGTGTCCGGCGATTTAAAGATTAGGATGACATCTTAACAATATAAATGACTAAAGAGAAGACCAGAGTAAACGGTATAATCTCTTAAGTAAGGTGTGTGAAATTGAGGCAGGGGTAGTGGTTAATCCTAAGAGACGGGAGATGACGTTCGATCTAGACTACGAAGTAGGTGAGGAACGAAGCGGCCAGAGTCGGTATGTGCAGCAATCGCACGCTTTCCTCCCCAGGCTCATTTTGGTCCTCGGGGCCTAATTCAGTCTTCATGCTACGCTCAACGGAATGAGGCCCGTTCTGGATCCGAATGATGAATAGCGTTGTCACTCAAGAATACTGCAGAGCTCGATGGAGAGGTACGTAGCTTCATTAAATGATATCCGCAGCCCCCCGGTGGGAAAGTGTCCATCGTCTCATAGGTTAAATTATTTATACTTACATCACTATACTCAAAGAAAAGCTTTAGCTTAAAGTAGGTGTGTCGCTCGCATTCGCGGCTACATTAATCTACTGCACGGTTTTGAGCTTTGAAGTGCTTTACAATAAGGACGATATAAAGGCTAGTATCATTACGTTTACTATAAGGGCGTTTCACTGTTCAATATTTTAGGTAAAGTAGATCGCTAATATATTCTTCCATAGTTTAGGACAACCCGCGCACAGCTATCACTCCTCGTAAGGGGCCTTATCCCGACGGCCGTGAGCGAGGTTAGGAGCGTCGTAAGCGATGCGGTAATAGCCGCCTCCGAGGCTATTAGCTAAGCCAATAGTATCGCCAGCGCCGCCGCGACAACTATTAATAGGGAGAGCACGGAGATCTCCTAAAATCTTTCCATCGATATAAAACAATACTGCGTAGAGTTCAGTAATTATATTGAATATTAGCCATTACCGGTGAACATTTCGAGCATCGTACCCCAGCTTATTTCAAACATTCTAAGTAACGAGACGGGAGATTTAGATCACCTACGCAGCGTCTTAGCAAAAGCTACCCCTAGATGAATCCGGGATCCTTTTATTATCGGTATGGCGACTACGTTAGTGGTTACTATCGTCTTTTTTACCTCTATGTTTAGCTAGCTATTTAGCGCTGAGGCTCTCTTGTAGGGACTAACATTACTGTTAATGCCGAGATTAATACTTAGGCTCTTTTATTACATCTATTATCTTCTCCCAACGGTCGTTCTTTACCTTCTCTACTCGAAGTCGAAAGAACTCTCTTCCGATATTAAGGCTGATCATAGCCCTATCGGCGGCTATTGCTGGGGCACTCTCTTTTCGGCTTTACTGATAACGGTAATGACGACATTTGTACACGTCTTCGGCTAATTTCGCGCGACGCAAAGTCGCTAATTTCCCTAGGCTTCGGTTAAGGTTAGCGTTCTCGACGCCATATCATACACTACGATTATGGAACTTAGATGATATAATTAGGTGGTAAGGTAGGTATTATTAGATAGAGTATAGAAGGCGATACATTATTAGGACATAGATCTACCTACGCTAAGACGCAACGAGCGAAAGGGAGAAAAGCCGCTTTACTTTTAATTCTAGCAGCCTACTGGTACTCGAAGTATAGTTCGGTTTCCTTAAGGCCATATATAAAAAATAACAAGCAGTTCTATAAACCTACTTAGTCATATCGAGGTCTCCAAATAATTTAAGCGGACGACGTAGCTCTTAGTATTGTTAGGTAACGTCGATATCGTCGAACTTGCTGGTAATAAAGTTGCCATAAGTCACTTTAGGGCTTCGCCTTTTTTGTGTGTGAATGGTCCTTTTCTCTTCTTCTTCTTCTCCATCTTTTCGTGCTAAAACTCGCTATTTATTGTGAAATTTTGCTCGTCTTTAATTGACTGAGTCCTCTTTCTTACGCATATCGTCGCCTAGAAATACCTCCTCGGTGTATTTCGAAATCTATATGCATTCGGCGATGCCTATACAGTTTCTTCGGGTAGGAACATACGATCACATTCCTTCTTTTAAATTTCTAACGGGGGTCGTATACATATATCGTTGAACAATGCTTAACACCGAGCGCTCTTTATGATGTTGCCTATAGTTCCTTTAATGGACTTAAATTCGGACTCTCTGCCTTCGTCGCCCTATTCGTCTCTAATACGTACCGAACTTAGGTATTCATATTCTTTAGGTGGCTCGTAGTGGTTCATCACTTAAGGGTTCACGACGAGATACCTTAGTGCTTCCGAACGACAGGCATTTAATAGTGACACATTAAATACTTCATCCGCGCCACTAGCTATGGCATTTAATACCTTTTGCGCACTTTATTTCGTGACGCCATAGCCGAAGGTGCATACCGTTATCGTCGAGACCTACACTGCGCGAAAGTCTTCTACCAGTTTGTCTCTGAGAAAATGTTTCGACCACCCTGAATATAGGTCTGTTTTACAACGTGTGTCATCGGTAAAAATTCTGGGTGTAGGTATGTCGTCTTCAATAGCCGAACCGCAATGGCCTAGCCATAGAATATCTCAATTAGTTCCATAGGGCGTCCGGTCGATAGCTGGAACGTTGGTATAGCTGCGGATATTATCGGAAATTAATTTAGTCTGCTATTTAATTCTCATATCCCAGTTAACGTCGTCTTCCACAATAAATGCGGTTTCTAGGTTTAAGGTAATGACGTATTTAAGTAGGTCGAGATGAGCAAACCATGCCGTGGCTGAGCCATGTACCGGTGTCGTTGCGTCCGTATCTACGCCGATTTCTTCGAAAGCCTTAATTAGGTTTTCAGGATTATGCGGCTAGGGTAGGATGGTAAATTCTAGCCCTGTGAGGTCGGCGGCGGCTTTGAGTCCTCGAGTACGTTAGCTCGGTCCTATTAAAAGAACTAATAACTTCTGAAACTAGAGATATAAGAGTTAGAAATAACGATGAATACGAAAGTATATATATCACCCCCGAAAAGGTTAATTCGAAGTCATTTAAAGAGGTAACTCACTCTAAGAGTCGTATTTGCGGAAGCCTACCTTAGGGTCAGTCTCGAGGGTGAATTGAATACTATCACCGCCGCGCGCCATGGTGAAAATTTTGGTATCACGCCGAAGAAGACAATTATGAAGACGCCGATGAGAACTCCGGCCCGATACCGTGAGCAAATTATTTTGTGATCTGAAGGATTTGGTTGCGAACTCAGTTGTTGATTGAAGTACTGGAAGAGTCGAATGCCTGGAGTTTTTAAGTCGGCGAGGAGGGCGATTGAGCTTCTTCGACGGGAATAAATATGCTCGCAAGGAGCAGAATGGTCGTTAGAAGCCGGCATTGACTAATATTCCACATCCCCTTTGCCCAACGATGGCGTGTTGTTGTATATATACAGCGGAAGCAACTCACGCAAGAGGCTGTAATATACGGGCAAGGAAATGACAAAACTATCGCCGCTTCTGGGTTGCTGAAATAACACTCTCTACAATAGACTTCGGGATATACAGTGGTTCCCGAAACCGCCCTCCCCTTTACGGACACATTACAACTATTTCTTACTGACGCTAAGGAATAAGCGGGTTGCGCTGTACTTAATATGTGATAGCGCACTCTAAAATACTGTCCAATTATTGACTTGCGAATTTCCCCGTTGTATTTTTAATACGGTATAGCTTTATACCATTTTATGAGCATTTCTGGATACAACCGCGTCTACGTTTTATTACATAGTGTATATTACAGCCTACTGCGATGTTCTCCTTTGGCGCGGAAAGATGAGTAAAAACTACTCGGAGCTCATGTGCGAGTCACCCCGGCCGTGCCGCTTTTATAACCACTCACCCTCGCCCTCACCCTGCTCACCTTTGGCACTCGCCATTCGATCCTGACCTGCTCCACCGCGTGTGGCGCCAACGAGAGCCCAAAATCGGCAGCGTGCCAACCCGTTCCGTCTTTGACGCCTTTTCGGTTTTCGACCACTTTTCTGTCCCTCGTTCGGACAGACCCTCCCTTCTGCCAATGAAGTACAAAAGTCCCCTTCCTGCCCTCTCGGGCTGCGAGCCCTCCTCCTCCTCTAGAATACGACCCTCCGTGAACGGTCATCCTACCATTACCATCATTACTGTAGAACCAACTGGGGAGTCATTTGTTGAATTTTGGTTGATTGGGTTGGAACTATGAAAGAGCGCGTTATGCAACTGCAGAAAAGGTGCGTGGTGGACGTACGCAGGTGACCAGCCTTGGCAGAGAGTGCAACAATTACGACCCTTCGACGACAATCTCCTGGCGTCCTGTCACTCCCACCACCACCATGGCCCAGCAGGAGCTCTCGGCGGACGAACTGCTGCTTGCTCACGCCGAAGCCAACGGCTACCAGAGAGGAGCACACAGAGAGGCCGACGAAGTTCGTGGCCGAGATAAACATATTCATTTCATCCTGGCTTGTAGGTTTGCCCGAGGGAACTTGATAATGACCGTCCTCCGCGATTGTCCTCTCAGTACGGTGATGTGATCCCGGCCTCCTTGAAGAATTGTGCTCTCCGCGCTTTGCCGCGCTTTCCTCTCTCCATGGTTTCCGCAATTCTCATCCTCCAACCTTCTACAAACTCGTCTTCTTCGTCCTTCATAGTCAAATTCATGTATCGCAGCCATCGGCGTCTCTTCCTCCTGGAATATTCATGTCGATTGCGTCCCTCCCAGTACCGCCTGATATCTCGTGCGCTTTCTTCAATCGCAGGCCAGGCCCCGGGAAGTTCGAGTACGGGTTCTTCGTCAAGAGCATTTAGGGACTCCCAGAATTCTGCTGTATACTCATCCGCCGATGTAGAAATCCATATTTGCCAGTCTTCCGGCCTCTTGCCGTAGACAAAGTTGACAATATGGATGCTGAGAGAACCCTCCCTCAATGCGAATGGTTCTCCACTCAAGAGATATTGGGACTCCCAGCGACCATATTCTGTTAGATCTTGACCAGCATTGAGTACCTCCTGCGCCCAGTGACGGAGCTTGTACGTTAAGCGCTGAGAATTGAGACTAGCCCGTGATCTCGAAGCACGGTAGTATCCAAAGTGATCGTAGATATCTCCTCCAAGGTAGACGAGCATTGGCGACCTGCATCCGTGTTCGAAAGCGGTACGTAAGCCTCCTGCACGAACAGCAGCGTGTAATATCGAGCACCACCCCGAGAAATCCCGCGAATCTGTGTTATTATTATCCCAGAATTGCGACATCTGATAAGACAAGCGCCCTACAAGACTTTCATGTCTCTCCAAATTCTCCGTTCTCATGACTAGACAAACAGAGTCAAGTTGAGTTTGAGATAGGCAAAGCCAGAATTGCTGTGCTTCAACAGGTTGCAAGCATGTGTAGAAGGCGAGGTTACGACGACTTTCAAAGTCGAAAGTGTTCCAGGGGGGAGATATCATGTGCATAATCCTGCGTAATATGCTCACCGAGTTAAATAATGCTAAGCCCATGGGAAACTCAGGATTTTCGTAACAGTCGCTGGGCAAGAAGTCTACCGTGAACTTGCTCAAAGCGTCCTCTTGGACGACCGGATCCTGCCTAGAAGATGCCAGCAACATCATTAGAGAGGAGAACCCTCTGCACTCATGTTAGTAGATCTGTCGAAGATGCCACGCCAGGGGACACATACATGAAATCCCGTTCATCCGGATCAGCACCTTCCCGCTTGAGGAACTCGATCATTGCTCCCTGATGGGATGACATCGCGTACTGTCTAGATAATTAGCGAATAGTCTTCTATTATAGCCAACATGAGGTGAACGGACATGTAGCAAAGTCTGCCCGTCTGTGCCTCGGTCAAAGATCGAAGCCTGCCTTGAGTCGAACAATTGCCGGAGGGAAGCGACATCGCCGCCCTTTACATATTGGAAAGCTAACCAGGAATCTGGCCGAATATTATACGTTCTGAATAGTAAATTCCACCCGCTATAGGCCTGCTGGTAGAGAAGTTCAATACGTTTCCCGAGTAATCGGCTGTGAAGGAGTAATAAGCGTCGGGTATATTCCTTAGGGACCCGGTGCTTTGTATTTCGGCGGGCAGCAGGAATAATAGGGTTAAGCCCGGTAGACGTGTCCATACCAGTTATTAATAACGCCTGGGCTGACTGCGATTGAGGTGATTGGCGGATATCCTCCAGGAGCGAAGATACGTGCGCCGAGGTGGAGACTATCAAGGTCTGAGTGCTGGAGTGCTGTTGAATGTTCAAGGAATTGACGACGCTATACAGATTTAGTATTGGGAGCGTTATACAGCCTAATAACGTACTTCATTAAATTCAGCTGGGCGAGTAAGAGGTTGGTTTTGGCCCCCTCGATATCCTGTTTGGCTCTCTCCAGAAAATCTTTCTGAAAGACCGACTTGATTGAACCTCGGATTTTAGACTGTTTGATATTGTTTAACAGATTTTTGCAGACGGGTATGAGGTTCTTCAGTGCCTTCTCGCATCGCCGTCGGCATTTTTGGGTCACGGCCGTAGAAGTATACGTGGAGGCGATAGCTTCTTGTTCGGCGATGGCTTGTAACACCTCTTCAAGGGCCTCCAGCTCTTCCAGGAGTTGCTGCACATTCTCTGGAGCATGTTTCACCGATGAGCAGACCTGCTTTAGTTCCAAGGCGACCTTGCCCAACTCCAGAGCCGCTGCAATAACCCCGAGAGTCTCAGCCATGGATGACCAAAGCAATAGTGTAGAAGACGATCCTAGATGGTAAGATTGATAATAGATGGTAAGATCACCGCTCGAACGGGTCGCATGGGAACAATCATCATGATAAGGGGAGTATTGTCGATATTAGGCTGAGCACAAGGCAGCTTTAGGCAACACAGTTTTTGCTGTTCAGCGTGGCCATGCAGCGAGGCTGAGCAGCTTGCAGCAACTTGCGTGAGGCATGGTCGCGATGTAGTGGCTGAGGCCCATCAGGCTCTGCAGGGCGAAGGCAGCGAGAGAGTTTCATCGCTGCTGACCCCTCCCTCTTGAATGGGAGAATTGCGCCTCGCCAGCCCTGAAAGCGTAAATTAGACTCAGCGACACTGTTTTTGGAAAAGCCCAGGGCCTTGGAGGGTCACCACGGTGGGTAGACTTAGAGCCAATTATCGCCGTTGTCAGCGGTCCCATCATCCGTGCCAAGGCGAGACCTTTTGGCCCCCACAACTGGTGAGACGTGATCGATCAAGAGCGGCATCACCCTACAGTACACCGGAAGCGGGGTGGGGCGCACGCGAATATTCCTCATCTTGGCGACCTTTGACAAACCTTTGACCCCCTCTAGAGCCTCATCACCTGCTATGTATTTAGCCCTGTAGTGCCTGTATTTCTACACCGTTTTGAAAACTTCGCTCCTAATTTGCCTCTTAAAAATGAATTTAACAAACTATTGGAAATTGTACCAAAAATGTTTCACGGTCTGCTTACCGTCTTGCGGGATGAATTGGATATTTCCGATTGCAAAATGGCATAAACTGTCATTCGGCTTCTGGATTCGTCTCTCGGCAGACGAAATCACATCTACCAGCTTGATAGAGCATAGAGAGCGCCGCATGGTGTATTCACCTTTGGAGGGCCACGATATTCGACTGTTTGTCCTTTCACCTGGAAAAATGTCCGATGTTATCCAAGGCCAATTGGTGACCGCCAAAGTCTGCGACAATACAAAATACGAGGCGTTGTCTTATGTATGGGGCAGCATGACCGAGCGGGAGACAATATCAGTCAAGGATATGATAGTCAGTGTCACACCATCACTTGCAAAAGCCCTGCGCCATCTGCGCTTAGCAGATGCGCCTAGAGTTATATGGATTGACTCGATTTGCATCAATCAAGCCGACATTTTGGAAAAGAATAGTCAAGTTCAGCTGATGCCTTTGATCTACGAAAAAGCGAGCAATGTCGTGATCTGGCTGGGTGAGGCAACCCATGATAGTGTGGTCGGGATCCAAATACTCAAATACTTTGCATCAAGTCAAGAGCCATCTGAAAGCCCGCCGTGGATGACTGAACCTCCGCAACTGGTGTACAGAGGACTCGAGAATATAATGAACAGGGACTGGTTCCGGCGAATCTGGGTTGTGCAGGAAGCAGCCCTTTCTCGAATCGCGACCATCGTTTGTGGTCCATACTCTTTCTCCTGGACTTCACATGATTGCATCCTTGTTCGCCGATTTGCAAGAATGATTAAATATGCGGAACTATCTCCTGATTGGGAGGAAGCTGGCCTTGAGAAAATTGATTTCCGACCTCTGCTGGAGCTTCTGGATCTGCAAATCGGGCAACAACTTGATAAATCTTGGGGAAGCACAAATCGTCGTGCCCCTGATATTCTTGACATCGCGTATGATATGCGACATCGCTCGTCAACCGATCCAAGGGATAAAATATTTGGACTGGCTGGGATAACAAGCTTTATGATAGGTGGCGAAGATCTAAGGCCTGACTATTCAATGTCAGTTAGACAAGCTTATGAGCATCTAGGCAGTATTATCCAATTCTAGGTCTCTAAGCACAATTTGACTCAATAATCCAACAATGTAAAGTGCCCAGTTCATCAATCGCTCCGATGAAGAATCAATTGTAGTCGAACTTTAATCCTGTATGGGTAATATAGAGCGCAAAGCACCACGGGGGGTGGCCGTGCGGGGTGATAGAGAGTCATCGAGACGATAGTAAATAATTGTCATAGAATCTTGAAATCGATATCTGGTAGTGGAGTTAACTATGAAAGGAACTGCAAGCTTCTGTACGGGAGGGATATAATGTACACCCATGACATGCTCTGTGCAAGTATGCCAAATTGGTCCCTTAACTCGGCCTGCCTTCTGCGGTATGACGTCAGTGTCGCGACGTCATGATGGCTGCCTAATGACAATACTACTAAAGCCTTGTAACTTAATGAACGTACCAATAAACAAGTCCTTGACTGACATGAAGCTATACCGTATTAAAAATACAACGGGGAAATTCGCAAGTCAATAATTAGACAGTATTTTAGAGTGCGCTATCACATATTAAGTACAGCGCAACCCGCTTATTCCTTAGCGTCAGTAAGAAATAGTTGTAATGTGTCCGTAAAGGGGAGGGCGGTTTCGGGAACCACTGTATGCAGCTTTGGGTTGAAAGTGCAAAACTTGTAAATGGTAACTTCACCACAGCCACACTATCCACCCAGTCAATAATGGCATCCCTCTCTTTCTGGCTCCTTGGGGTCTCTTTTGGGATCCCAGCGGGGTCCAAAATTGGTCCCTAAAATGTCGATCTGTTACATTCTAGCTCGATTAAATACAAAATCTATACTGTAACACCTTCCTTCATCATGGTCACTTCTCTACTACTGTCACTATATTAAGTTCCACCGAAACATCTTCCTTTGCTTATCTATCTCCATTCGATCTTTTCACCGACGAATACTACTCACTTACCCTCTATTTTAACCTCTCATTCTTTTCCCAGAATCGATAATATACTCTAATACATTATTCTTCGCCATTGCAAGTGCAGCACTCGCGTTCGCGTTTCCACACCCATAGGGACAAAGCACCCCAGCAGCAGGAGATGGCTTTTTCTCTGGGGAGCCTACTCAAAGCTGTGCCATAAATTCACCCAATGTTGAAGGAGACAATGTTTGCGTTCCGAACGGTAATGACGACACATTTATCTGCTGCCCTGCTGGTAGCGCATGCGTCCAGAGTGCGGTAAGTCTTATTTATTTTTAACCGACTATGGACGAGAATTTAAGTACGGTTACTGATATTAGCTTCTTTAAAAGGATGTACAGTTTAAGTTCTTCTACTTCTAAGTCTATCTGCCGGCATTTTAATACGAGATGCAGTCTCCAGATAGACCAATTCTAACTATCGACTCGCGCAATTAGCTCACTTCGAAATATTCAGCAGCATTTCTAGAAAAGTTTCATCACACTCTTTATACTTCATTTTTATTATCTAAGTTCTCCCAGAAGTTAACCCAGAGTTCTCGGCGTTAGGGGATCTCTTTTCCTATTAGGTACAGACGTCAAGACCGGGGGTTGAGGAGGATTTATCATACACGGGATAGCCTAGGTGAAAAGACATAGATAAATGGTAATAAATACGTCTTTATTAACTTTCGGTGCTAAAAACGTAGCTAAACCATCTGGTCCGAGAATGAGAACAATGTCGTGCAAGTGAGCTCAGCATACCGATCGAGGCGCTCAACCGTTGCTGCAGAGAATGCACAGTGCACAGCGACTGTCAGTCCCATCCTCCAAAGTCTACGTGTCTCTTAGGGCCTAAGTGAGCGCATTGGTAGCCCAAAAGGGCATCCTAAGACCTAAATGGGCAGGTATAGGAATTGGCTCCCTAATTAGATGGTGAAGAAGGCAGCCTAAAGAGGCTCCTACTTAGCATTTTTAGAGTTTCACTTTCTGCAATTCGCGCGTACTTAGATTCTTTTTTCTTCTCGAGTCGTAAATTCCATTTATACACCGCATCACAAAAGGTCGCACTTAAGTACACATATAGTGTAGATGGTGAGGGTTCTCTTAGTTCGACTATGTAAGGAACCTCTAAAAACTCGGGCGAATGGCCTTCTACAGTACTTCCTTCCTACTCTATCCGCCAGAAGTCCAGCCTCTTCTAGATACGGTGTTAGTGTCCTCTCTCCCTTCTATAAATGCGCGACCACTTCTAACGGGTCATCGACAACGGAGCCTAAAATGGCTGTCAAATCTTAGGCGCCCAGGAGATTAGAACACATCTACAAAATGGAAGCGGCCTTCGAAAATTACGGTATCTATGCTTATAATCTATATTCGTATCTAGTGGAAAGAAAACTAGTAGAAATCCCCCATTATCTATATATCTATAATATCCATGATTAATCACTTAATAGGAAGCTATGAGAGGGACAATGCAACGGGCCCCGCTAAGGTTGCAAGGGCTAGGTCATAGTCATTGTTAGGCAATTAACTTATGACCGCTGCAAAAACCGCTCCACTAAGTCCTTGTAGTACATCCGCAACCCCCTTGCCTTGACCAATGATCGATAATACCGTATACACCGGCACATTTAGCTAATTAGTCCAGCCAATAAATAACTATTTTCCCTCTTCGAAAACGAATGGCATCTACATCGGATCCTACGAGAATATCATTTCTAACGGAACCACGGTGGTATTCGCAGCGGTAGTGAGGCTCGTAGTGATATTTTAATATAGTGCTATGCTCGACGCTATTTCCGTGGCCGCTGAGAATCTATTGTTAGCCGTGATCGGGGCTAACACCGTTAACGTAGGCAGAATTAATAGTGAGAGTTCGGTTAGACACGATCTAGGTACGATAAATGAAAGAGCTAAATTATATACTTAGATACTGAACTGGGGCGAGGCTACTAGCCATGGGCATCAACTCGTACGGCGGTGGGTATGGTCTCTTCTCAACGCGTACGCTCAACTAGAGGAAGTCCTCTCTATTGGTAACTTGGTTGCTTGTGTTGTCTATGAAAGATAGTCCCCCAGAACTATATAAGAAGAACCATAGTCTAGGGTCGGCGCCCCAGCCAATCATAACTCTGTCCACCACTTCCAACTTCTCCCATTACAATACTACTAATCCCGGTGTTAAATGGAGCTAGATTAGAAACCCTACCACCCATATAGCGGAAGAAGACGTTATAGCGGGACTCGACTATTACGATCGACGACGCCGTATTAATAATTCTAGGGTCAGTGTACGAGACTCGATCGATCAGCCCGATAAGTGCGCTAATGCCCACTAAGATGATGATGTTACTAAGGGCGATGAACTCATTAATGAACGCCACCGGGAAGAAATACTAATAAGGAGTAATTACCGGGGCTCGATAGCCGTTAAGTAGATTCGTAATTATTACAACGTATACTTTCTCCTACTATAGAAGGTATAAAATATTAGACTAACATAGAACCGAGATGATTAACTTATCGCCGCGATTATACTAAGAACGTCGGTCGTATCATTTAGGTAGCCCACTATTCCCTAGATAGAAATATTTTAAAGTTCGCTTTAAAGATAGAATAATTCTAGATTTTCGAGAAAGAGAGTTAGTTAAAATTCTTTAATCGCTTCCGCTGACACCATGAAAGGCTCATTACTATCTGGAATCCCGCCTCCTACCGTGTTTATAGTGTCTAAATAGAGTGGTGCGGCTACCGTAGTCGCCATTCTTATTAAGACGAGTAGAACGAAGTAGAAAATTATGGAACGCGGAGATAACGATATAACCGCTCTTTAATGTCGAAAATTATAAATTACTTAAGATATTAAGATTAATCACATCCTTCCAGCTTCCGAGCTTCATAAAATATAAATTAAATGGTGTTAGGTTAAATAAGTGCGATCCTTAGTTCCGAAGAGACTAATTCTTATTCCCTAGATGCTATTCTTATCTTACATCTCTTATAGCTTTAGATAATTCTAAGAATAGTGGTGAGGTCTAGTGTAGTATACTAATAATTAAGAAGAAAGGTCGCTACGAAGTATATTATCATTACTTTCAAAGAAGATAGAGAAAAAAGTCGAGTTCCGGCTCAAAATTAGCGTAGTGAGAAGTGATAGAGGGAGTCCTCCTCTATTCTAGCTTTCTCTTTAGATATAAAGTGCTAAACCGGATATATACTTCAATAAGAATAGAATAAATTAAGAGAACAAAGTATCCGTAGAGACTCTTAGAATACGGGTCTAATGATTATATTAGTGGCGCAAAGTAGCTAGTAAAAGGAGTAGCTAAAAATAGGGCAATAAATATGGCTATACTGGCTCGAACGAGGCTCCGTAAAAGGAGGCCTCTAATTAGCTACTCGGTCATCTACAGCCCTTATTAGATTAAGATTTATTCGACTATAAGGTCTTAATAGGCATAGAAAACATAGACGCTTAATTATAGTTACCTTCCCTACCGTCCCCTAAGCTACCGTACCCTAAGCTCGACGGAAAGCCATTATACCCCTTTTACACCTATTTAAGATAGGAGGTAGAGTTACCATCCGATTATATCACCCAGTATAATTAACGATTATAAGCTACATTTACCTAGACTATATTGCCATCTATTAGAAACAGAGTGAACTACGTTCCTTAAAACGCTAAATTATCACCCCGTAGGATATAGTAATCCAGTGGCACCCTCTCCTTACTAGGCTCGTCCGGTAGAGAGTAATTCTACCCGATATAGTAGTGCCCCCGCCACGACCATTATATATATAATCTAGTGGCTAGAGCCCACGATATTAAAAGCATTCTAGCAGAACCTTTCTAAAATTCGTATATAGAAAAAAAAGTCTCTAATGATATTTAGAATGATTAGATTCCTATAGGATGCCAGGAGGACGGGGTGATAGGCACTCCTTTCCTAGGAACGAACATTAAGCGACATCGTCGGTAGAGTTACCGAGAGCCCGAGCGCGAGGAAGGTTAATGTGCGCGTGTGATGGCTTTCAGGACCCCTGAATATTGGCTGAGATACACATAACGCCGTGACC